AGTGATAGAACCTCAGAATCATGTTAATGATCAATCTTTGTGGAGGTTTGTGGACTCATGACTCCAACAAAGCACAGAGACGAACAGGCTGTCAGCTTCTGCACTTACAAACGTAAGCCAACATATTGGCAGGCCAATAGTTATTATAACAACTTAAGTGCTGTTATACAAGTGCATACAAAGGATCTCACCCGACACTTTATCTATCATACTGATTGAATAGAAAGTTTATTTTCGTTTCATGCATAATTGAACAAATTATGCAAGTTGCACTATAAACCACCTGTAGACTGTAAACACCTCAATTCGTTCATTTAATAGAATCATACAACTGCTAGATGACTTTATGATGGTAAACATTATTAAAATATAAATAAATATAAAAATAATAAAAATTGCAATAGATGTTAATTTTTTAATAAGAAACCTAATCTGTAAGGAACTTTTATTACACAAAATGATAAAGTGCATGTTCTATGCCTTCCCAATAACAGTTGCATCTGATAATTATGAAATAATTGTAGTAAACTTTCATTGTCTATAATTATATCGGCACCTGTTTTCATTTTCCCGGAGTGGCCAAAGCATTAGCTATTTTTTCTCTCCCTGTTCCGCACACAATCGCTACCCCTCCAAGCACCACGGTAAACAGCCCCCAGGTTGGTTGTGCTCCAGAAACTCTCTGGCAAAGCAACAGGGGCAGAAAAAAAGAAAACAGAGGCCATAAAAGGGTCTCCCTTCTGAGGAGAGGAAAAAAAGAGGTAAACGTGGTGGCTAAATATGGAGGTGGCTACGATTTATGCCGAAAGCGGTGGCTGGGCGATTATGCGTAGAAACGTCCCCGCTGAGCGCAGCGGCGACCAAGGAACAACGGGGCAAGGTCTAAGACTGTATTCACAGATTTATTCTTAAATGAGTTTGCAGCTATTGCTTTTATGACGAACAAGTATTAAATTATTCAAAGTTTAGGTTCAGTGTTTGAATAACTTAGTGTTTAAGTGCTAAATGGAGAGGTAAATGGTTTATATTCAGCATTTTGTATGTTGTTAAAGCTACATCTTCACACTGTTTAACTAGGGTGGTGTTAAACCTGGAGAGCAGGCTGCGTGAGGTAGAAGGCTGGGGAACAGCCTACAAATGATGCAATATAGAGAGACTTGATGGCATGTCTTTGGACTGTGGGGGTACACAGACCCCTCACACAATAACTCTGGGGTGGGATTCGCACTGGTAAGTGTGAGGTGACGGTACTCACCCACTGTGCCACCATGCCACCCTGACATTGCGCCATGTTCAGAAAAATATAATGTTTATGGCAAGCAATTCTTTGTAAAAATTACGATTTTACGATCTTAGTGACATGGCTGCCAGGAGACAGCATACCCAACAGGTCAGTAGCCAAAATGTCTGGCAATTAGAAAACGGCAATCTGGCAAACCGGGACACATATGTTGTTGATTAACCACCTTTTTAAGTGTCATCGCTGAGGTTGCCCCTTGCTGTGCCCGTATGCCATCAATCGTGGGGGGGGGCGGGGTTAAATGGTGTACGGCCACCCGCCCTCTACCCTGTCCCCACCATATGGCTGCCCCAGCAAAGCACTGACTGGTAACGATCAGGGCAAGGAGAAAGGTGAGTTTAGGTAGAGCTGATCTGCAGAAGGCAACGGCAGCTGATGTAACCTCCATGGACAGCGATGTGCCTTCACTCCTTAGTGTCCTTGATGGATAAGAACAGGTGATAGACGGGGGTGTGAAAGTGCCCTAAACAATGTGCACAGATCACCACATTCACACCTTTCCTGTTCCTCCTGCTGATGTCAGATACGAGCCGCATCTGATACACGCCATAAAACATGAGGCCTTGCAGGAGCTCAGACAGGTATAACCAGCTTGTGAACAGTTTGAGTGCATTTTAGCCATGCATTGTTAATTACACTGTTTTTATATATTCATCTTAACAGCTTTTTATGTATGATACAGATTCATGGTTCTTTGTGCTTTAAAATGTTTAGATTGAATATCAGCAGTTGGCTGAAGTACAAATCTTTTGTTAAAAAGGCAAAATTAGTTTAATGTGGCTTTTTAGTTATATACCCATATTAGTTATAGTCACTATATTTATTTTTCCATGTTGCACATTCAGTGCTGTAAACAATTATTGTACATTTCCTCCAATACAACTCATGCCCATTTGCACAACTGTATATATTTTAAAACTGCATTTTTTGTCCATGTCTTCACCTAGGTCTCAGTATGTTGTGTTTAAATAGTCAGATTGGCACTATTTAAATGATCAAATTTATATTTTATTTATTGTGTATTTCTTGCACAAGGACCAACAAGATCGCAATTGCATCTTAGCGTGTGAATTGTAATTGCATCCTAGTACCCATGGATCATACAGCTGACGATGACATTAAAGACACTTTGATATGCCAGCACATTGGACCTTCTACCAAACAGTGTTGTGGGCTTGAATCCAGGGGTCAGATCTGTCATTCTCTTCTATCCTTAAGCTTCCATAAGGATCAGCTTTGGATTCACTTTGTTCCTTCTTAGGTTCTGTTTCCCTGCTAACTTTAATTTTGCAATTAATGGGTGGATAGATGATTATTTTTAGGTGTATTTAAAAAAACAACCTCCAATGAGTCATTAAATCCACTAATCTGAGGACAAATAATAGGATAAAGAAAGAATGTGTGTACTGTGCTATTTTTGTAATTGTTACAGAGGTCAGGTTTGAAAAAAGAACTGAATAAAACTTACTGAATGACTAATGGGGTAATTACCCTGTCAAGCTTCTGGGAAGGACAAAAGCTATGTTGACTTGGAATCACCTGTCTAGATAAGCTTCTCAACCTTTCTTAAACCAGGAGGCCTCAAATGAAAACAGACCAGCGCTAGCCCCCCCCCACCATTGCCCATCAGATTGTACAACTCAGGACACATGTGCAATGCTACCTATTTTTATCAATATCTGTCTATCCGTTTATCTTTTTATGTGCAACATTTTACTGTAACATTTGAACATATTTCACTACAGTACTGTACTCATGTTTATATTTGCCTACTTATTTAATATCACATCCATATGGTACTTATTTTTATTTTAAAATTTTTGTATGTGGTTCTACATGTTGTCCGTTTCTGTCTTTTTATGTGGTCGTCTACTGTGCAGTGTGTAACTACGAGCAATTTTGTAATAAATGTATTCTAATTCTGCAGGAATTTCTGCAGTGTGCCACAAGTCTCTATGTATAAGTCATGATCCCTTGGTATCACAGACACCCATCTGAAAACCACTAGTCTGAACAACAAATCACATGTTTCATATGAATACTCATAAATGCTAAAAGACTTATGGAATTACTCTTGGTTTAATTGCAAACTGTGGGGCCAGTGTTTTTCCGACTCATTCACACTTGGCTTTGGCCTTTGCACTGCCAAATACAAACTCTGTTTTGTTTAAAAGACCCATATGAAACAGCAAATCATCAAGCCTTTGGTTAACAATGGTGATATTCAGCATTGAAGTAAGCTGACTGTAACACTGTTCTCCATTGGAGGAGATGTTTTGACTAATTATTGTCTTGTCATGAAATTGAAGATATCTCCCAGATATCCATACATCTTCCACAACCCCTTGTCTGGTACCAAGTCAATTTTAGCCTGAAGTCTATCTCCAGGGCATGAGACACAGGACCTGTAAACAGGTACACACATTCACACAATTTAGACACACCAATCCACACATCTTGGCCTACAGGTTGAACGTCAGAGGAAACCTGCATGAACATAGTAGGACCATGTAAACTCCATACACACATAGAAAGGATTTGAACCCCCCATCTTGGACAAACCTAGGGGTGACCAATCTTATCCAGAAAGGACCAACTCCCTATTAGATTACTAATTAGAGGACTGATTGGCTGAAGAGTCCTCACACCTGGGTGATCAGCTGACCTTAAGGTTCATTAAAAAACATTCCAATGAGACACTCTGCTATGCTATCACATGTGCTGTGGAGAAATTTCTAATCATAATGCTTTGCAAACACAATATAATGAAGTGTGCAACACAGCAATAAAATGGTCCGCTATCATCACAATTTCTATCACTACCACCACTATCATCATCATTGCTTGTATTGCCTTCATACTAAATTGTAATTGTTTTTCACTTGCATTGGTCCTGTTTTCAATACTAATCCTGGAAATATTCTACATTTAAAACCTTTGGTTTATGTTTTTCCTGTTACCCTGAATAGGACAAGCAGGTACAGGGAATGGATGGATCTGATTATATTGTTACCAGTGTGTGCATGGTGTATTTTGCAGTATCAATAAGATGAAATTTTATGAGCAATCTCCTTTCCCCCCACAGGCAAAAGGCACAATAATTCTCAACATTACATATGAGTTTTTACTGTTTAATAATAAAATTAAATAAAATAGTGCACACAAATGCCTTGGGTAGTTTATTTTGTTTCAACCCATACCCACTAAAGTTGAACCTACTATGGTTGAAAACCTGTCAGTGTTGTTTTACCTTACTGTAACACGTCGTAAGTTAATCTTATTGTGGTAAGAAAAGTATCTCCGCACGCAAGAGCTGCTTACCACCGACAGGTTTGCCATTTGACTGAAATTGAATCAAGTTTAAGCTAAGTCAAAAATGTATAATGACAGAACGGCAAGTGAATGCTTTAGCTTTATTGATAATGCGTATTGTGGAACAATGTTTAATGTTCTGGGGTAATTGATTCAATTCCATCTAACTGGCGACACCATGTGTTGTATTTCAAACAAGTAAAAAAAAAAAACCGACATTATTGTCAGTCTAAAGACCATCGTTGTCATGCAGATGAAATAACACCAGATACATAATAAGTTGCAGGAGTTTATTTGCAAATGTTGGCTGCCACTGCAGCATGCAATACTGTTTCAAAAAAGAAATCCATATTGAGATGAGATTTATTTGTTTGTAAGCATATTGCAAAACATTTGTAATACATCGCATGAGAACACTTGTCATATTTACACTAAAAACGTTTTATTATTCATCTCAACAGAAATAAACAGACATTCATTTTGTACCCAAACCTTTCATATTCGCAAGTATTGTGACAGCTGAATATACTATAAATGTGATCATTCTTGAAATAAAATTACCTGTAACACCAATACACTGAATCGAACTGTATTATAATAAAACGTTGAGTCATTCCTAGCAACACATCCTCCGAAAACGGCCGAATTATGGTGAATCAGTGGGAATTGAACGCTGCATAATTTCACATAAAATCCAGGACAAAGGGTCGCTCGTAAGAGACACACACAATAATAAATAAATAAATGATACGCATATCTCCAGAAAACAAACCTAAACCTCACGTTTCCTCGCCTGCCAGCAGAAGTAAGACGGTGCTGCTCTGGAAGTCTTGCCTGTATAATTTAGGCGCTTCAATTCTAATCTCGTCACCTCTACAGTGTCCTTCTGCATACAAACACACTGCCGGCTCAAATATAAAAAGGCAGTGGAGACGTGCTACGGCACTCGATTCCACCGAGCAATTCATCGCTTTTATTTTTTGATTTTTTTTCCCTTGGTGCACTGTTAGTTACTCTATCCAGTCGCTATCCTTTAATTATAAGAGTTGCATAAAGTAATTGCAGTGCGGAACCGTGGCGCCATTGACTGTATTCAGTTACTTAAAAACATCAATCAAGTGGAAAACCATTTTTAATGGACATCGCACAATTTTCTTTTGAAACGAGACAAGGAATTGACATATTGTTGCAACATGTCGCATTTACCTGAATGTCATTTCAGAAGATAGAAAACGGAACTGTTTCTTTGACATCTGGATTGGAGCCAGGGCCATATGTTTAGGTACTGTATAATGCCTTCCTTATCTGATCTGAAAACCTTTAAATTCGTGCCCGATGGCAAAAGTCCGTGGGTACTTTGTCACCAGACCAATTAACAGGTATGTTGTTGCGCCGATCTAACAGGTATCTTCCGGATTAGGATGGCCAGCGTAAGCTAATGTATCCATTGGTGTGTATCAATATGTATCAACCATCCGTAAGCAGATCTGCAACTGCGCCAGGATGGAGCGTCCTCAACGCTGGAGATGACGCAAATGACCCAGCTCCACCAAAAAAGTGTTTCAAGACGAACATGGCGGCAACTTAACACAGGAACCAAGATGACTGTTGCTGTCGAAGAACAGATCCAAGGCGCTCTGCCCGAAAACGTAAAGGAGAACATTTTTTCTGAAGCTGTAGGACCTTGTTTTCTTACAACATAAAGCCGGAATCGGCGGGTGGAGGCAGACCACAGCTGGTCCACGGGAAAGGGAGAGAGATCAGCCTAGGAGAGACGCAGGGAGAAAGGCATGCTGTCACTGGGAACTGTGTTTTTCTCCGGAGAGCCATGCAGAAAGGGGATGTGACAATGCATGGCTTAATCCTTTTCAATGCACTAACTTGTCGGGAATAGCAGAGCATCGCCGAGCGAAGCCGGGACCTCTTCTATTGAATCGTTTAAGAGGAAGATAAGACGAGGCAAACCCCCCAAAGTCAATGAATATTGTGGCAAAGAAGCCCTCACGGTGGAGTCGGCCAGTGCTGCGCTTTTCCAAAATATGACCAGAGGTGCTTGGATGTGTCGACAGCAAGATGACGGTTTAAAAATCTGGCTTGCTCCCCGAGTGAACGAAAAGCCATTTACAGATCCAGAAAGGGCCCAGAAATGGCGACTGTCCTTAGCATCTCTCCTTTTTTTAACGGTTCTGCTCTCTGACCACTTGTGGTTCTGCGCCGAGGCGAAATTAACACGGACTCGGGACAAGCTGGACAAGTTAGCATTCGCGGACATGGGCGATTACCCAGCAGAAAACCATATGTATTCACCCAGCCTCCATTTCCCACACGGCAGCCTCAGAAAAAGCGAAAATGTTATTTTTATAGGAAATTCTACTGGACGTTTCTGGCGGCCAGAAACTTGCCACCCCGACAGCTTATCAAAAAACTGCTTTACTTTTGATGACGCTGAACCTTTGTGCAGGAGTCTGTCTGACACCAAGGAGACGCAGTCGGTAGATTTAAATTTAAGCGATTTATACCTTTCTTTTTGTAACTCCTATTCCCTTCTGGATTTGTTTTACGGGTTATCGAGTCTGGACAATTTGAACTGCAGCCTTGACACGGTTACGGATGGCGATGTAGCAGGATGCAGTCAGTGCGTCCAGGCGTACCAGCGCTACGACCAGCATGCTCAGGAGAAATACGAAGAATTCGAGATCCTGATTCAGAAATATGAGACGGATGCATATTCAGTGAGGACATGCATGGAGGAATGCAAGGTATGGGAAAGTGTCCCCTTCCTCGCACCCCCTGGTCTAGATCTTCCCTTGCGAGATCCAAGACACAGGATCCCCTAATCGTCATGGTTACTAGAAATCTGTAATAAGCACAATGCGGCAAGCGCCTAAGTATTTGTGAAATAACTCGTGATGCTTTTAAGGACTTTTTTTGGTAGTGCGCCCCGCGGAGTTTATTTAGGTAGGACTTGCGGGTTCCTCACCATGGTACATGTTGTCGGTGCTCATCAGTAAAAAGTAACCTTAACAGGGTATTATATACACCACTTATATAATTAACTTCTTTATTCTATTGTGTAAGAGCTTAAATAAGGTGGACATCAACGTGTGCCTTTCTTATGGATGTAGGAAGGACTTCTGTATTCTGCTATGTACAAATACAATCCTGTGGCAGGTTTTCGTTTTGTCAGGCAGAGACCGGGGGAACAGTTTGAAAGAGATCTAAATGCCACAAGCATAAGTAAATCAGCTGGAAATGTTTACGCCTCCAACCGCATAGTAATAACGAGTTAATGTATTAGATTATAGCGCACGCAGCTGGCTGTAATCTATCCCGGTCCATGCGGCGTGGAAACTCCTTCAGGTGTTTCAGGACGGCTGCAGAGTGATAGGTGTAGTCCACCGCTTTATAATCACATAATCGGTCATGTCAATGATTTTCTAGATTTTTCTTTTCCACTTATCATCACCATCATCGTCATCTTTACTATTAATATCGTCGCCATTATTAATATTCTCAATGGCACTGCTGTTTTAATGTTTAGTGCATATTATGCTGCCATACAGAGAAAGAAATTAAAAAGCGCTGAAGGCCGGCGTTGTATTGAAAGCTGCGACAGGTAGGTTGAATTTTGGGAGATTGTGAATACTTGCTTTTCCCACATTCGTTTAATACAGCTTTTGGGATGTGAAGTCGATCGTCGTTAAGTGTTCGCGCCCCGATTTTGTATCGAGTTAAGCATACAGTTGCCAAAAGCTCTTATCCTTTCATCTTTGTCGACTCATTGAAATAAAAATACGTGGGCCGCTCTACCAAGCACACGCTGTTTGGGACACATTAACTGTGTGCGTCTGTTATTTGTTTGTGTGCGGTGGGTGGCAAAGTCGCAGAGACAAGCCTCCGCAATGGAGAATCCTGCGCTGTCCGTGGTGCTGGGGTCAGACCACACACAGAGATGGGAGAGCAGCACATACACGGTCCCTGTGCATTGTCTTTATTCAAAAACACCGCAACCTGCTTAAACGTCCAGAGGCCGAGCATTCATTCCCATTTTATCAGCATCCCAATGTATAAACCTTAAACAGAAACACTTGCATTTTTCCAAATAGGAACAATTGCTTATGATTTAAAAAGTTGCATCAGAAAGTGTTAAATTCCACCTCGGTACATCTGTTTTCCACCTCAGTCTCCAAAATACTAAGTACATCTTGCGGTTCTTGCCTGTGGGCTCTAAAATACATAGCACAGGCTCTGCTTTCTTAGACACATTAGTGATGGCACATAGTCAAATGTAGGGGCACCTGCTTCATACAGATTGAGGACTTGCATGTGAGGTCACAGACGGCTCTTTAATTTTGCAACAAATTAGTGTGGGCAGTGAAATAAGCTAGTTCAATAATTAGAAAAATGCAGGGCACATTGTGAGAGATTCCTTGTGAAGAAATTATAGAAAGAAATTACATATACTGCAGCATGAACCGGAGGGTTTAGTGTTTAAATCCAGGAAGTGAATATTATCCTCTTGAATAATACATACTGTGTATTATGTGGACATCTACAGCGGATGAAGAATGTTTTCGTGATGAATGTAATGTTTCTTCCAGGTGCAAACACTGCGTTCTTAGCATTGCTGTGTGAGGATAAGGTGCATTGTATGCTCTCTCATTGTTATGAAGGGGTGGATCGGTCCTGTTGCTAACACAAGGCCTCATTGGTCAGAGGCTGAGCAGGCCAACACCTCATGGCTACTTTAGGAGTCAAGTAGTTTTGTTGTTAAGGACCTGAACTCATAAGCTAAGCATGGCAAATTCAGACAGTGAAGGGACACCTATTGTGTCAGCAAAGTACTTAACCTAAAGTACCCAGCTCCATAAAAGTGTTCTGATATATCCCGTGTATTTGCCTACAGGGTCCATCATCAAGTTGTGTAAACAAAAGTCCTTATTTGTTCCCATTGACTGTGTTACTGTTGAAACAAGTGTCATTTTGAGGCAATTAAATCTATTTGCAGTTAGTGACCCACACAGGAGTTTTATGGAGAATTTCAGGGTGAGGGCACAGTAACTTTGTGGTTGAGGCCAAAGTCTTAGGGTTAATTTCCTCATTTTCACATAACAGTGCTTTTGAAATCCCATTAAATTATAGGCGGTCAGGAAATTTGAGTAGGGGTTATTTTGGCACTCTCTCAACTTAAGAGAAGTTCACCCACCACCTCCCAGCCCCCAAAATATTAACAACAGCAGTTGCTACTGAAATCCAGTGCATTTTTTTTTCTTTGCTAGCAAAACAGTTCTTGGTAACGTGTAGTGGAGTGGGTGGCTTCAACTGGAACAACATGCAGCTGTCTCAATTACTTTGTAGGAGGGTTTCTGTCCATAGTTCAATTGCCAGTTGTGCTCTTCTCACCTTCCATCTCTTCAGTCAGACATCTATTTTCTGGAATGGGCTTAGACCTGCCGCAGATCATGAAAGTCATCCATTTTTAACCAGTCTATTCACGGGCTCCGCTGCAGGAAGAACAGGAAGTGGTGCCAAAAATACTCACTTGCTAGATGGATTTCCAATTCATCTCAGTGATTTCACCCTGCTAGGCTCCTTCTTAAGGTTCATGAAAGAGACCCTGGAAAGACATGAAGTGACAATGCTCTGCGGGGTTTGAGGAACAATTCTATTTGAGGTCACCGTAGTCTTTCTGAGAACCTGGACTGACAGCTGGCTCAATGAAGATCTCTGAAATAGAAGCCTCAGGCAATAACAGCAACCAGATCCACTGGTCATCATTGGCAGTCGTCTGCCCTGGTCCAAGAAAGTTAATCAAAGAATATCTCCGCAAAACAGGTGATCACAGTTGCTGGTACATAGCCAGATCCTAGTCTAGGTAAACTGATTGAGGCAGAAAGTGCTAGCAAAACAAGTGCCTTTAATGGTATAGGAACGACAATATAGATGTAGTTCTGTAGCCTGAACACCTCTTTAAAATGTGTCACCTTAATTATAAGGGTTATTATGGTTGCTGCATACAACTCAGTAGCTATGGCTCTTGTAGAACGATCTTTGGTATTTGAACGGGGTCATTTGGACTGATGCCTGGCTATCATCACCTTCCAATTTCTGGAAAAAAAATTACCTACATAGATTCCATTTTTGTCTCCTCCCTTCTTCCCCTGACAGTCTTGCAAATTATGTACACTAGCATGGACAATAAGATGCTGTTCGGAAAGGTAATAAACTTTGTCCACAATGGGCCACACTGGGGACAAAGGAAAACATGCGAAAGGTTCTTAAATTCACCCTGAAGGCCTCTGAGACCTGGGGACAAGGTTTGGTCCCTCAGATATGCCGTAGAAGTCTTCAACATGGTTAGTTCATTATGTTCCTTTGGTGTTTGTCTTTAACAAAAAGAAGAACGAAATTGGCAGAATGGTAGTCTTTTCTTTATAAATTTATAATGCAGCTTATTCCAGGGTTCAACATGGTTAGGATTTTGACTAGACTTAACTTTCATTTTGGATTCCTTACCATTTAACTCCACAAAATAGCACCACATGTACTAAAAAATATTTTCATAGTATTATATTTGCAGTAAGTATCCTTTTTGGTTTTTCCACACATATTTCAAAATTCATTATAGGATCCAATGTTGCTTTAGTGATGGTAACTATTACGTAATATTTTGTCTGAAAGCTTGTTGAGAAGTATTGGCCTAATTTGGAATTTGGCAAGGCCGAGATATTTATCTATACAAATGTGTATGGTGAAATACATAACAACAAATATGTCTTAGGATTAGACATTGTAAATATGCATTGTTTTATGATTTTTTTAAAATTTACACTCAATTATCCATGCTTGACATAGTGTTTGTTAAAACTAACAAGCAGTGTTTGTAAACAGAAAAGCTGCTGATATTGTTCATCTTAATTTTACCATTTACCACAGCAAAGCGTAATATCAACAGTAGATTAGAAAGTAATTAGAGAAATTGGTCAGGTAGATTTGCCATCCCTCTGGGGCACCTTTCCTAACTTGCCTGTGTGTGGGTAACATCTGGTCTTATAAGTTCTGTTTTTATTTGGTTGTCTTTCAGTTGTACTCTGGAGGAAGTTGCCAATCTTTTTTTTTTCCACTTGCGTTGCCACGTGCTGCCGCTACACCTGCGCGGAGGGCCCTGCTTGCGCGTGTGTGTCGCCCCCCGTGCGCCCTGTGAGTTCCCTGTGACACACAGGCAAATTCAATTAGCGTGCTGTTGATTTTGCCTGCGCAAAACTCGGGGAGAAGGCGGGGGTGGGGGTGGTTGGGTTTGCCTCGTGGTGGGCAGGTGTGTGTGGAAGGGTGACGTGCTGTCGTATTAAATGACAGTGTTTGTTTCTCGCACAGCCGCGAGATAAGGGAGCCGACAACGGCCGCCCCACCTGGCAAATGGATTACAATATGAGACGGGATTAAGGAAGCGGCATGCGATTCTGCGGCCGGGACGACAGAGTTGCAGGGAGAAAGCAGGCAGCTAAATCCTGCCAACCACCACAGACGGATTAAAAAACATAATAATAAAGCGCAGCAATCAAACACTTCACAGCCTCGGTGAAGTACCATTTAAATTATAGCTTGTTGGTCGGCTCCGTGACACATCAAAGGTTATGAAGGGGAATTATTTTCTTTGTTGACAGAGATCTGCGGTTCTTTGAGGACTCGCAGCAGGGCGATACTGACCTGTCCAGTTACGTTGCTCGACCTCTCGCTCTGTCCCCATCATACATGTATCTAAACCTATGACTGTTCAGGCCGTGAGAATCCCACCCCTAGCACTGGGGGCGGGGCGGGGGGGGGGACCGTACAGATACAGACCTTTCACCATTAGCTGGGACGTTTGCGAGTCATGCGGCCGGCCTGAAGAACAGATGCTCTGGGTTTAAATCCCGGGTGGTGTATTACATTTGTGTCCTTTATTTCATGTCATTCCAAGCTAAGGTCAGGAGCCAAGCAGATAAACGGTGTTATATAAAGCGAGCCAGGCAATGTGACCTACCCATGCCAACCGGCGCCTACGTCAGCGTTTTGGCGGGGAGTCTGCTGGAAATCCGCGTGGCTGTTTCAGAGACTGCGTGTCCCCCCCCCCTCCCCTCCCCTAAATGGCAGCTGTTAGTTGCACTCTGATGCATTGTTATGCACAAAGCGAGCGCCGCCGCACCGCTAGCAGAACACAGAGGCTGCCTTTTCATATGCGATCCTCAAGTTTCCTCCTGCCTCCCCTGCACAAGCCTTCGCAGGGGAGAGCACTTTTCCAGAGCGCCAGCATTTGCATATTAATTTACATTTTCCTTTAGCAGCTGGCGTTCCCCTTGTCCCCCTATTTTAAAAGCTGCTTGGGCTGATACATAATTGCTTTTATTGCGGTCGCATACCCCCTTCTCTTTCTCTCTTTTTGTTTTTTACTTAATAAATGAAATAAAAATGAAGTCCTCATTCTATAGCTTTGTAAGGGACACTGCCACAGTTTGGCATCTTAAATATGATTACAGTATTATGTTCTATAATTGTGTATAAAATGCCATCATGGGGGAACTCCTTTATCACCTATGGGACACATCGTCACCACGGCGACTAAGAGCTTTGAAAAAGGAATGCTCTGGGGCTCACCCGTTTCACGAGGGGTCGCATTGTCAGATGTGCAGTAATGGCAGATAGTGAGTAATTATGCGATTCTGTGAATGGAACGGTGAAATTAGAGGGAGGGCTGCGAGTGAGATTCTGTGGGCTGTTTTGGAGAGCCAAGCTGAAGGAGGAAAGCATCGATCTGCCCTTCAGTATTCCCCACCGCTCCTCCGCCGATCGGCTGCTCCCTGCCTCCTGACGACCAGCCGGTCTCGCGAGCGGTAACCCCGTCATCCTTCCTCGCTGTGCAAGCGTGGCGTAATCACGTGCACGCGTTAAGACACGCGCGTGCGCACACACACACGCGCGCCAGGGCGCGCGCACAGCTGCTTGCTGAAATTTGTGCGCGTTGAGTCAGATTTGACAGCCGGTGCCTTTATTTCTCACCTCCGAATGGGAGCGCCGTGAAACGAGCGCCGTGCTCCCGATTCTCAATCCGTGTGAGAGCTTGGGGAGCCCAAGTCTGTGGTTCTTCTACGGCTTTGCACCGACTTTTGCACCGGAGAATCGAAGGTTCCGGTTGTTTTCTGAAACAAATCCGTTTGGTCACATGATTTCCTCTAGGAGTCCCCAACTAAGAAACGTTCCAAGATTATAATTAGTTCCGGGTCCCAGCTGGTTTATGTGCCCGAACAATACAAATATTAGGATTTATAAGCATGTCTAGACTAGACGACGTGGCAGAAGAATCCTTGTTGGCTGATCATCAGCTGTCAGAGTTTGCTAATGAACAACAGTCAGAGAGGCAGGGAACAGACAGGAACACCCAGCTTGTGCCCAGTTCCTAACATACATGTGGTTTAAAAAAAGAGAGAAGAGATTAATTAACTATTAATTATGGGTTATATTATCTTTTTGATCTGTCATCTCTCAAGCAAGTAGGTGTTTGGCCACCATGTCCAAGATGCACTATGATGATGCCCCTACACTTCAAAGTGTGTAATTGTAGTTATTAACAATCAGGTTAAAAATTATTCAATGATTTTAGTTTTATATACTTTGGGTTATCAATAGGCATTTTTAATACTCAACTATCTCTCAAACTGTGACAATAAAAGATGGTTGAGAACCACTCATGCATGGGAATAAAATGTTCTGACATTCTGATAACATTCATCCATCCAACCATCCATTGTCCAACCCGCTTATCCTACTGGGTCGTGGGGGGTCTGGGAGCCTATCCCGGAAGCAACGGGCACGAAGCAGGGGATGGGGGGCCAGCCCATCGCAGGGCACACTCACACACCATTCACTCACACATGCACACCTAAGGGCAATTTAGCAACTCCAATTAGCCTCAGCATGTCTTTGGACTGTGGGGGGAAACCGGAGTACCCGGAGGAAACCCCATGATGACACGGGGAGAACATGCAAACTCCACACACATGTGACCCAGGTGGAGACTCGAACCCAGGTCCCAGGCAACAGTGCTAACCACTGCACCACCATGCCGCCCCTTCTGATAGCATTTTAGCCATTATCAAGGGAGCTTAGTAAAAGACGTGTGTGTGTGCATATGTATAGATCCTTAGTTTTTCTTAGTATTTCACAATTTCATTATGCTTTTAAACTTTGGTGGGATACTCCAAAATTATGATTGCCCAGAAAACGGTTTGATGGTGAACTTGAACTCCAGCACTTGCTACCATAAAACAGAGGGAGACATAGACAACACAAATCTCCTCACAGGCTCAAGATGGCTGCCCTAATGCTCTTGCCTATTTTTAATTTTTTTTTGCATAACAGAATTCTGTTGTCCGCTTTCAGCCATGATCACTTCCTGTTTAAATACAGTAAGAATGAAAATGTCAGGACTCGTCACAGGGCTTATTTTATGACAAGCAGCTTGTTAAATCTGTGAAGTGCAAACATAAAGATCTTTAAAACACTGGTTTTTGGATCCTCTCTTGTAACTAAGTTACACGATTGTGTTTATGTAAGCGCTCATTGTCAGGGGAGCAGTATTTGAGGTAAGTAAACAAGATATTCATTAAAAAGATCTGCTGTTACTAAGGGTACATATTACACAGCATTCTTGATAGTTTTTTCTCCCAGACAGGCCATCTTTTGAAAGGAAAAAAAACAGCAGTCTTTAAAGCGACCTCTTGAGTACTGGTCAACGCTGGGAATCAAGGAATCGATTACATAGAACTGAAAAAAAGACTGCGGTTCCTCTCCTTACATACTCACTCGCCTGATTCCAATAAAGACACGAATGTTGACTTTCGCGAGACTGACATCTCAATCATAGGATTCACATCATCATTGAAGGACATGGAGCCGCAGTGACCAAAAACGGGGTGAGTCGGCTGCGAGCGTAATTTCAACAAGGCTTGGGGAATAATTGTGCTGTTAGAGAGCAAATGCTATTTTCAAACACCGTAAACGGCTGACCTTTAAATACCCTGTTCGCTTTTTCAGGTAAGCATACCAGCAGTACTGCTACAGCTATATTACACTGAATGTCTCTTCTGCTGGCATCTATAGGAACATTTGTACAAGGCACATTAGCATCAGGGAGCACTGTATTTTACTATAAAGTGAAGGGAAAATCATTACTGGGTAAATCTTCTCTCACTGGCCCCTGACAACAGCTTAATTTATCACCCTAGGCACTACTCCATTGACTACAGTCTTTCTCTCCCTCTGTCTTTCTCTCTTCCATTCTTTGTCTTTATTGGCATCATCAAAACGAATAGAGGAGTGTAAAAAAATATACAACTGCTGATTACGAAATGGTGCTTACAAAGAAAAAGAGCAAAAATATAGAGGATTATACATAAATGTGTGAAGATAAAGCATTGCGACGTTCTAAGGTGAGCCAGATATTCCTGGAAGGTGTACAATGTCTTAGACAGACTTGGGGCTGTATTTTGCCGTCCTCTTCTTTCTTGCTTCTGTCTGCTGGCTTATATAACAGATTTTACAGCTACAGTGATCCTCACCAGAGATGTGGACACCCATTGATTCTGAGCATGGCACTTAAATGGGAAAAAAAAAGAAAAAATCGTCTCCTTGCATCAGTGCGCAGAACACAGTGCGTTCCCATTGCTGGTAGCAAAGCAGGCTTAATTATTATTCATAGTATGGTTCCTCTGCTGGTCTTGTTGAAGTCACATGGTCTGCTGTGAGGTTTATCCATACAGCAGGATTCCAGGCTCTGCATCCAGTGTGCTTCACCCTCAGCAGCTGTAAATGTGCTCCATCTTCACACAGAGTGCTTGATACATTGTCTGTGTGATCGGATGGTTGAGGTGCTTTTTCATTCAATATGTTTTGTTATCCAGACAAGTACCTGTAGATTACTTTGGTTTCCCCTACCCAGCCCCCACCCCCCATTTTTGTTTTCACTTTCCCTTGTAGGGGTGTGAGGATATATAGGATATGCCAGATGTTTGTCCTGTAATCTGTAACCTCATCTAGATGTCCCTCTTCCATGTTCCTTTGACCTCACTGGCTGGGAAGATACTGGCACGTTATAAACCATCATGCCCAATGGCGTAGGAAAGAGGTTGACGTTGGGGAGGCACAACTTAATAATTTAAAGGCAAAGGTTTATTTATAGGGAGGACGAATGAAGCCAAATTAAATTCTGGGGGGTACATGTGCCCCCTGGTCCCCCTCTTACTCTTTGACCAAAGACCGTCTCTCCTCAGTTCTTCTGAGATTTTAGGAAGCCCTGCCTTTCTATAGCAGCCCCCACTGACCAGCTAAGAAATATCTGCAATTGTTTGGTAGCTGCATATTAGTAATAGATCTAAGAGGCATTTTGAATATGTATGTATATATATATATATATTTTTTTTTTAAAGGCGATGTTCCCAAAAGGCAGAGTTTAGCATAGGGGGAGGATAGTTTGTTTGGGTGATATACACACACAGAGCAGGGACGGTGTAACCAGAACCGGCTTTCAGAGAGCGCGCACGATTTCCATAGAACCCCATCAGGTGGATGTCTGAGGCCGGGCCTGCATCCTCTGCGAGCACATGCGTAATGTGCATTACCACGTCGGGCTAATACAAGCCGGCGTAAGGATGTGGCTTGCGGGACGCATGCGGGTCCGTTTGGCGTGGACGACGGCTCCTCTGCTAAGCTGCACAGAAATCCTCGCTGAGGGATTTTTACCTAATTAACACCATGAAAACACAGTGTCTGCCCTTGCGTGATTTCTCTCGGCGGCAGGCTGCCAGGCACAGTGATGTAACGGGATGATTCAGAGCGATCTAGCCCCCCCCAGGTCTTTTGGCTTGTTCATTAGCAAGTGCATTTGTTGCTCACTCTGAAATGTGTCGTGTCAGAACTGTCAAGAGACAGCAGCGATCAAGCGCACACACCCCCATGCGAAAAAATATAAAATAACACACACTCACCTGTCTGTATTAGACACCAGAAACCACTGAACTGATTACTTGCAGTA